GCAAAACAATTTTGATAAGTGGAAGGACCCGAATACCGGACTGTGGTGGGCAACTTGCAAGTGGTTCAAGAAAGAGTGTAGCTTGGGGCGTTCACACAGATACGGGATGCCAATAAAACATATGAAGTCCTGTGACAAAGGGAAAACAACAACCAACGATGGCGGAAATCCCAATTGATATTTATTAGAAAATGTATTTCGTATTGTTATTTTTTTCTCAATTCTCAAATGTAGTTGCTATTTCAAATAAATGCACTTGAACTTTGTTTTTAATAGAAATTTGTATAATATATAATTATTTTAAAAAAAATTGAACCGGCCCGGCCCGGCGGGTGGCCCAACCCGTGACCCGGCCGGGTGGCCCGGCCTGAACCGGAACCGGCCATAGCCCGGGCCGGTCCTGGGCCAACCTATACCAGACCCGAGGCCCGACCGGGCCTTGGCCCGGCCCGGGCCAGACCCAACCCGGGTCCATCACTATGTAGAAGTTGTCTGTGTACGCAGACAGGTGTGTGAAACATGTACAAAAACTGTATTTCAAACAGTTCTCAAAAATGAATGGACAATTTTGGTTATCCTTTCAATGATTCATAAAAAAATTATAAAAAAAACTAACCAGTTCATGTCTATGAAAAAATACAAGGATAGAAGTTACCTTGAAGTATAAATACATCAATTTATAAAAATCAGTTCTATACAAAAATCATAGAAATTATAAATACATCACCCATCCTTGAAGTTCCCAAAAGGTGTATAGCTTTGTTGTGTTTTTCTTTTTACAAGTGCTACAACTGCAGTTTAGGTTTAGTCGGACTACACAAGGAGACTTTAGATGAGAGATTTAAGGAATATCTGTAGTATCAAACTTGATTTTTTTGTCAAAGTTCGACAAATGACCACAAATGCTCTTGTTGTTCACGAAACATTGGTCAGTAACAGGAGGTGGCAATTCCATCAGGATAGTTGGAGAAATGAGTGCTATGATGATGATACCGAAGTACATTCTCCTAAACAAAATCGTGGTTATATTGTTTTAGTAAATCGCATGAATCATGAATGTGATGAAATAAGGATAATTAAAAGCATTCCAAACAAATGTACAACAAATGTTGGAAGAACTCAGTTACACAGCGTTCTATAGCAATTTTTGGGAAAAATGAAAAATCCATAAATAGGAGTACAAAAGTTTTGAAATTCTAAAATAGGACCTTGATGTTTTTATTTCCTAAATAAGAGTAATTTTTGCCAAGTTTGGCATTGAAGCTTCTACCAAGTTTTTTCCAAACTTGAAAGAAATTACTCTTATTTAGGGAATAAAAACATAAATGTCCTATTTTGGAATTTCAAAACGTTTTTACTCCTATTCAAGGCAATTTCTAGCAATTTTTTTGTCTAATCAGCCGAACCTTTTACTAAACACTGGTTTATATGGTTAGCTGATAATGAAGCAGTGTAGGGATTTGTTTTAATTGAAATTGTGAAAGATGACGACTTTAGCAATTTCAGCAATTAAGTATCAGCCACAGTATCATTAACTTTAGTCAAATTAATCATTAACTGCTGATACGTAATCAAAGGTCCATATAATCAAGCAAAAATTACCAAAAATTATGAAAACCTCAAATATGTTCTTGAACCCATAATTGAAAATGCAAGGCAAAATCATATCATGACCCTCCAATAATGCTAAGCAAACCGCCAGTGTATTATGTACCTAGTAAACATTAAAAATGATAACGTTTTTATTCAAGTTCCATAACATATCAAGCATGGTTCTTAAAACAGATTGATTGTGATTACCTCGGGTTCAAGAACTTGAAGGAGGGGGTGAACTTGAACCCGAATCTGCATTTTCACGGCGTAGCTTATCAATTAAGCCTCCCAACTCCTGGCGAGCTGACTCTCTGCCAAACATGAATCCATACCTGTAGTAGATGTGCAAACAAAATATCAACAAAAAAACATTACATGAAATTACTCATAAACAATGACAAAAGCATTTACCAGTAAGAAACAGTCGAGAAAACGCCTGCAGTGGCAACCGTTTGCAGCAGACTGAAGTTCTTCTGCATTTACGTTTGATGATCTCTGCCACAACGTAAAGAAGTGATTAGAGAGAAATGTTCTTGGGCCGCGCGAATCGGAACAAAATTGGTGAGCAAATACTATGGCCCCGATCAATTTGGTAAGAAAAAAAGTAAGAAGAGAAATGAGAACTAATTTTGAATATTGATTAGGGAAAAATGAATTTGAAGGAGCAAATCAATTTTGAACACAGCAAAGTCTTCAATTAGATGAACGAACACAGACAGCAATGAATGTAACTGACAAAGTATGGAGTTTCAATGAATATCAAGTAGCAAAACCTTACTTAGGAGAGTTAGAATAGTTAGAGACTTAGAGCGATCTAAGTGGAGTTTAGGAACTGCAAAGATTGAAAACAGAAAATCTATCATAAATTTATGGAGTACCGTTTCCAGATTGCTGCGTATCGAGGTGCCGCCGGATAGAGGGAGTTGGTCTTCGTGCCTGCTGGTCGGTGCTGCTGAGCACCGTGCTCGCCGGGAGAGGAAATATCAGTGGTTCGTCGTCAGTTTCTACGTGAGGAAGGAGAAGAATGATCATCGACTGGGCGAAAGTTGACTAGCTGGAAAGAACGATTTGGGCCGCGAATTTCAAGTATTGGGCCAGAGGGGATTATGATGCTGTAACATGTTACCCTTGCCCCATTGGGTTTTTGTGGAGGAAAACCAAAGCAATTGCAATCTTACATCCAATTATTGAGGGGAGGATTCAGTACCTCTGTACACTTGCAATTTTATAAGTTATAATTCAGAATAGTTATTGAGAGATTACCTAGCATAAATTTTATTTTATAGATATAAATTATGATGTGAACAGTCAATATATCTCAATCTCACAAATTGAGTAGAACAATATGAAATGAAGGTAAATGTCATGAGATAAAATTAAATATTTTTGAAGATAAAGTGAATATTAGTTGAGCCATCGGGCTTGCTGAAAATAAAGTGACCTAAGTCGACACAGAATTGACCCTTGGTTAAATTAAGTGTTTTGCTACTAAGGTGTCCTGACTTGACTTTATGGAGCATGATCGGAGTAGCAAAGACTCGTAAATGGATTCGAGGAATGTCGTCTGACCCGACTATATACATGGAACATAATTGGAGTGATAAAATATAGTGTATCATTCACGGTAATGTACATCTCAAGGAATAAATTGTGCAAATGTGGATAATTTCGTCTTTCCTTACTTCCAATCTCAAGGACTTTGAACATAAATGTGACAACGGAAGAAGAAAAGTTGCCATCCGTTAGAAACAAACGGAGTGGGTGAGGAGATATTGGCTTCCGTCACAAACTATCAAGGAGTGATTCAAATGATTAAAAACATTCAAAAATGTGTTATTTGCTCTAAAAATAGTTTAGTGTATTATTTCGATGTATACCCGGCCCTAGTGGCATAATTGCCCATTACCCTCATAAATATGTAGAATAAGGAAGAAGGATGTAGAACAAAGAATTAACTCTTTTGACCCTTCACCTTCATGTCATATGTATGTGATTAACGGTGGGCCTCTAAAGCTATAAATGGGCCTCTAAAGCTATAAAAATTTCATAGTCATGAACAAATACTAGTGTATGAATTGTGTCAAGTCTCTTGCAAATATTTACACAATGACATTCATTACCAAATGGCCCCATCTTCTCATCATAATAAATTTTCTCAATAGGGAATGGGGGGTGGGTTGGGGTGAAACTAAAGTATCAATGTAATCATATATACCCAAACTTTCCGCTGCTTCTTTCCCTTCAGCCGTTTAATCGAGGTTCTCCACCCTTTATTATTCTTTCCTTTCAATCGCCGGTTTTGTCTGATGGTTGCACACGAAAAACAATAAAATCGTTAATTCTATGTTCTGCTTTTTTTTTACACGGGAAACTGGGACTTCGTCAGATCTATATACTTTTCCTTATACAATCAATGTTCAAATATGCAATTACTGCTATACCAAGCATGAGTGAAATACTAGTTTCCTTCACATTTCCAAATTACTCTCGTAATATCTTTTATTTTCCTTAACCTAATATTTAAATAATAAATACAACAAGGCGATATAGACTATTAATTTAGATTCTTATTCCTAGAAATAGAATCTTTATAACTACATTTCAAATACTACATAAATCAATAAGCACATGAAACCGAACCAAACCGAATCACATTGTTTTCGGTCATTTTGGTAATACCAACTTAAAACCAAATCGAACCACTATTAAACCCTTGTACTATTTACGATCCCTGTACTAAAACCCATGTACTAAAAAATATCATATAAACACATCTACTTTACAAATTTGATCCATTTGATAATTTTATCAGTTTTTGACCTGTTATAGCAGGTTTTTAATATTAAAAACTTTAAAATATTGTTAAAATTTGAAGAAATATATACAAAAATTGTGAATTTTTTCAGAAAATATTTTGAAAGTCAATATTTTTTAATTTTAAAAAATATATATTTGTATATTCCACATCTATTTAAAACGTTTTTAATTTTTTATTTTTTTTATTTTTTACTTTCACTTTATTTTTTCAGTTTTATGATTTTTTTAATGATTTTAAATCTTTATCTATTTTTACATTTATACTTATATATATATTATTAGATTATTTATTCAAATATATATGAATTTTTGTAAGATTTATCAATATCCTAATTTAATTTAAAAAATATCCTGCTATAGCAAGTGAATTGGCTTGGAATTGATTGTATTTTACAAGTAAGCGTACTTATATAAAAATTTTTTAGTACAAGACTTTAGTAACAAACTGGATATAGTAGAAGAGATTACTTTACTTTTTTTGTTTCTATTTTAGAATAAAAATGTTTTGTGAAACAGTTCCAAACCAGAGCCGTTCACACCATTAAATTTCAATTCAAAAGAAAAATTGTAATCTATACAAAACTAATCAAGTTAGAAAGAACGGAAATGAAGAAAATCCCAAAACAGAAGTACAGAACAAATTAACCATCCCTATTCCTCGTTGCGGCCAAAATTCAATTCCCCGAAAAATGAAACATGTGTTTCGAAATACTGTTTCTCTTCTCTCTCTTAAGTCGGACCTTGTATTAAAATCGTTAAACCCTAAACCCCTCTTCCATATTACTCCCATTTCTACTAGAAATTTCCTCATCTCCCTGTATAACGTGACCATTTCATCTCCATACTGTACTTCGATGGAGGGCGGTTATATCGGCGCGCCTGCCTCCCCCTCCGTTGAGAAGCTGGATAAACAGTTTGAAGACTTTAGGAACAACCTTCAGGAATCTTCTATAATACGAGAGCGCATTCGAGCTTTGGCTATGGAGATTGAATCGGCTGCTCGCCTCATTCACTCTAACCTCCTCTTAGTTCATCAGTCTAGGCCCGTTCCAGGTCGGTATATGCGAACTTGCCATCTATGAGTATTGATTTTGTCTTGAAGAATTTGTACTGAAGAGTTTTATTATAAAAATCAGGCATTAAGTTTGTGTTGAAGTATTTGTATTGAACATGTGTTGAAAATATGTGTACATAAAATGTATTTGCACAAGGAATGATATATGTACATTTCTGTTACTGTATTATTTGTGAAGTAATATGACTACTATATTAACTTACTGTATTAATTGTGAAGTCATATCCTAACTAAAGCTATTGTGGCTACATGCTTTGGGAAAGCAAAGGGCTAATCTGTACATTCTGTTCCTGAATTATTGGTGATATATTACTCCGTATTATGTTGCGAGGTAATTAAATTTATTATTCATGATGCAATCAATAGAGGTTTTAGAGAAGGCAAAGGTGCAAGTTGCATTGGTGAAGCAACATTATAGCAAGCTTTCTGAAATCCTTCAGGAATGCCCTGGCCAGTATTACAGGTTAGCAGCAGCTACAAATATCCCCGATTTCTGACTTTTGTATGTTTAGCTTGAGATTTTAGATTATTTATTGTTCGTAATGGTATCAATGGTTGATTAGGTATCACGGAGATTGGAGGAGTGAAACACAGACTGTAGTGTCATTGTTAGCTTTTATGCATTGGCTGGAGACAGGCACTCTACTTCTGCACAATGAGGCTGAGGATAAACTTGGCTGTATGCTTATTTCTTTTTATTCTTCAGTTTAAGTAACAGCTTAGGTGTTAGCATGTTATCCATCGGATACCTTAAATCTTGCAGAGTTACACTAGAGTATCATACCTTTTGAATATTTCTAATTTCTATGACTCTCTTAGAAGATATTGCACAGCTTCATGTCTGAATTATTTTTGCTGCCAGTGTAGGTTCCTTTTCGTCTTGTCCTAATATAATGAATTATCATTGCAGTAAATGCATCTGATTTTGGACTTGATATTGAAGACTACCTCACAGGTGATCAATTTAAAATTTCCTGAAAAGCATGTAATGCTTGAAACATTTCAGCCTTTCAAATGAGGAACACTTTTCATTGGGGAGAAAGGGACCCACTTCAGACTGTTCAGAGTGGTGGTGCAAATGATTTTTTTCCTGTCCAGTATCATCAAATGGAAGCAGTTGCAGAAATAATTGCAGACTGCTCTTTGAAGTTTTTGAAGAATGACGAGTTATGGCAGCGCCATATGTTGGAAATCTGGCCATCCGCATAATCCGCTATCCACCATTAATAACACTGTCCCTGTCCTTATCATATGATCATGACTTAATTAATTGCTAATTTGCTAAGAGGCTTGTTCGCATTATAGAGAAGCTTATCCAGTTGTGTACATTCCCCTAGATTCCTCCCCCCCCCCCCCCCCCTCATTCACGGAAGTGTTCCACATTGTAAATTGTGCATCATTTCTATGCAATATTATTTGTGCTGTTCTTAAAACTTCTAGACTAACTATTTTTTTTATGTCAGGAATATGTTTCATGTCAAATGAAATGGTAAGAACAGTTATCCTTATAACATGCTCTGGATATTTTTCATTTTATGCAGATATAGCTTTAGGATGACTTCACTTGAAAGTTTTTTAATTCATATCACCTAAGAAATGGAGTCTGATATACTACTTAGGAAATCTAGCTGAAGTGGCCATATTAAAGCATTTAAATTGGCATGTTATATAAAATCAATGAAGCTTAGTATTTTGTTTCAAATAGAAGCAAATAATTGCTATGCACTTTAGGGGTTGCTTTGTTTGGGGATGTTGGAGGAGATGATAACATGATTGATTTTTGTTTTACTAGTGTAACTCTTTTGTTGGTCCTGGATTAGAAACAACTATACTCTTAATTAATTTCCTTAATTTTTAACCATCTAAATGTAAGAATAACTTAAAAAGTAAACATTTACCCATTCCCTCCCCCTTGAAATCCTTGAACCAAATAAACCCTTAAAAGTTTGTTTTGTTCTCCAATAGATGGTGTTGTGTCGGAGATTTTTTGTTCGCAAATAAAGGTCTCTAATATCAAGAGATCATTAATTGACCTAATGATCACTTTTCCTGTTAATGTTGCGTTGTACTTTAAAACATTAATAAGGGTATTCTTGTCAAATCACGTTACTTTAACCTAGACATCAGAAAAACTAATGCTTTCTTTGCCTGTATGGAATTTGCAGCCTAGGTATGTGGTGAACCGAGTGACAGCTGGGGATTATGATTGTCCCCGCCAGGTTCTCAAGTTTATGACAGATCTTCATGCTGCTTTCCGGATGCTTAATCTGAGAAACGATTTCCTACGTAAAAAATTTGATGGCAAGTGTGTTGCAATTGTAGTCAAATTTTGACAATAAACAACCATAGGAGCATTTAAAAAAATAACCAATCATAAGAGTATTTAAAAATCATTTCATTTCAATGTTGTTCATTGAAATTTTTGCCTGTCCGCACCTTAATGTCCTGCTGGGGGGGTTCAGTTTTAGCATTGATAAACTGACATTTTGTTTTCACAAAGTCATAGCTGATTGAATCATTGGTTGTGACAGGGATGAAGTATGACCTTCGGAAAATAGAAGAAGTTTATTATGATGTCAAGATCCGTGGCTTGGCAACAAATCAAAATCCGAAGGAAACTGAAGAGGCTTCATGATGTTATGATGGGAAAAGGATTACTACTTTAAGTCCACTTTTTTCCTGAAGTTGTTAATCAGTGAAACGAATGTGCAATGCTCGCTAGCATCTTAAGAGTGCAGGTTTACTTTGTCTTGATGTTTATTACGGAGTATGAATTTATGAAGAAGATTAATGTTCCTCCATCCATTTCCTTAACCTTCTAACATGTTATAATTGCATCATCTTATTCCCGTTCGATACTGGGGTGATAAGTCATACTCCTATAAAGTGTTATAGAGCAATGACTGATCATAAATTTAAACCAAGTCACTGATTCTATGTCACGCCTTATCAATGTATCATATGTTTTTTTCCAACAATGATTTCTCTAACCTTCCCATCAATTAGCTTCTAGTCCCACCGGCCACCAGTTAAGATCAAACTGATAAAAACTATTGAGTATAAAAACAAAGATGCTTGGTCAGCAAAGGAAATGAGTAATGGGAAAAACGATTTGGACTAATAAATTAATACTCTGTAAGACCATAATTATGTAGCTTTGAGGTTTTTTATCAGTATAGCTTCGGAAAATAGCAGATGGGTATTGACGGAGAATGATAGGGAAAATAGATGAAAGATTGCGTCTTCTTCCTTTTTAGTAGGCCGCAGCCCTAGACCTTTTTGTGAAAGAGTGCGTCTTCTTCCTTTTTAGTCTTGTAATTTTATAGACTAGAGACTTGAGAGTCGAGACTATACAAAACAATATGCTTTATCAAAAACAAAAGGGAAAAGTGTCAAATAGGCCCCCCTACTCCAAAGAAAATGTCAATTAAGCCTATGAACACAAACATCACCCAATTAAACCCTTGAACCGTAAAAAAATGAGCAAATCGTAACTTTACCCGGTTACTAGTCAGTTGCCGGTTAAAATATCTGCGTGGCATCTTACGTGGGTATATTAAATATAGGTGGTTGTCCCTGAACAAATTTAACCCTATTATAAATGTCCCTGAACTGCTTATCTCCTGGAACGAGCCACAGTAGCGATGAAGTGAAGCTTGGTTGCGAACGGAAGTAGCTTTCTTCTTGGAGCAGCGACAATGTCTTCTTCGTCTACATCAAGCCTACGAAAAAACAGCCTATGTACTCTGAATTATGAGCCCGCTGTCTACTGTTTATGTGGGATGAAAGCCCCTCTTTGCAAAGGACGAGAAAGTGAAAGAATGTTCTACGGCTGTCAACAATGGAAGGTAATGCTAACAAATTTGTGCTTAATTATTATGATTGATTTCATTGCATTTCTCAGTTTTCTCGTACTGGTAATTTTGTAGCATAATCGTGGATGTGGCTTCTTTGGGTGGAAGGATGCTATGGATGCTACATATGGGGGTGATGGCCATGTACCCCACTGCAATACAAGAGATGAGGGAACATATGGTGGTGGTTTCGTTGAGTTGCAGAGGGCGAACAGTTCATTCGATCAAGGAATTCATCTTCTTAGAAGAGATATTGGTTATCTTACGGGAGTAGTCCAAACAGAGGGGGGAAAGAACAAAAGATTTAGGTTAATTTTTGGTTGTTGTTGTTTTGTGAACATAGTAGTTGTTGCTATGGTTTATTTTACTTTAAAAAACTCTTGTATGCGTTAGGTGTGTTGTTTTTTATGCTATGGGAAGTGCCCAATACTGTTATTGTAACCATATTTATGTAAGACATGAAAGTTCTTAATGTTGAAGCTGTAGCAACTATGATATGCTTAATATTCTTTCATAGCGGAAACATATATTATCCTTGGTCCATATTTCAAGTATTTATGTTGTAGCGTTACTCTCTTCTGTTTTATCAAGTAAATTGAAAGTTCTTGGTTATACAGAACTAACAGAAGCATGGAAGTCCTTGGTTGGTTTTCCAGAAAACTTAGTGATACAGAAGCATGAAAGTTCTTAGCCATTACAGGTCTTTTAACATCCATGTTTTAGAAAAAGGACTGGTTAGCCATTACATGTCTTTTAACACCCATGTTTTAGAAAAAGCCATCTGCAGGGGTTTTACATGAAGGAATTTGAGGATTTTTTAATTGATAGTGAGAATTTTCTTTTCTAAGGAGCTGCAACAATTAGTAACTTAAATAATTCGTGTAAAGTCCAAATTGAAAGAAAAAAATAGTTCTGCCAAAGAGGGAGTCTAACTTAAAACGGCACCCAAAAGTAAACCAGGTATGTCACAGGTGATTGATTGCCATATAACCAATATAAACAACACAAAGGAACAACACAAAGGAAGTCACAGGTGATTGATTGCCATCTAACTTCAGGATCCACTTTCTCCAGATCTTGTATATTTCGTTGGAGTTCTTCTTGGGATGTCGATTTTGCTATATTCCAGAATAGTCTTTTAAGAATCAGGCCTCTGTGATTTTTGCTCCAATTAGCATGTATATGCCTAGCACAGTTTCTGTGCTCAATGCCAGTAAGTACTTGATCTATGACATTTGAAAGGCCCTGCAAATAAATACCAAATAATCATGATACACGACAATACAAATTAATGAGATCATAACATAAATGAGACATTACTTCAGAATTATATATGTTGCTAACCTTCTGTTGGTCACTTATAATGGTCCACAAGTCAGTCCTATCAATCTTCAAGTCATCCTTTAAAAGCTGCAGGAACCAAGTCCACGATGAGTTATTTTCAATTTCAACGACAGCCCAAGCAATTGGGTACATTTGATTGTTGGCATCCCTCCCAACCGCTGTCAAGATTTCTCCCTTCAATTGACCTTTCAAGAAGCACCCATCGACCGCAATCATCTTTCTGCACCCTTCTAAAAAACCCTTTTTCACAGCTCCAAAACAGAAGTAAACCCTCTGGAAAATACAAGGGCCATCTGGAACAACTCTTTCAGTTTTAATCACAACCGTACTCTCGGGAATTGACTTCAAACATTCCTCTGCGTAATTCCTGATTCTCCTAAACTGATCCTTGAAAGCATTCTTAGTTTTTTCTTGTATTCCTTTTAGTGCTCTAGCTACCATACTAAGTGAAACATTGATCTTATGTTGTGCTTTTATAAGATCTTTTAATTCTGCAGCACCCAAACAAGGATTTTCGAGCACTTTATCTTCATAAGTCTCCTCAACCCATTTCTGGCTAACAAGTCTCAACTTGAACTTTGTATTACAAATGTGAGTCTCATTCAAAACCTTGATTTGATAACATCTTAGCATCTTCTCCCAACTAGCAGTACACCTGAATGGACAATTTGGGGCACACTTCAAACGCACTCTTTCAGGCTCATTCTTGACAAACCTTATATCTTTTTTCTCATGAATAGCATATTTTATCATGGCACTCTTGAATTGCCTTCCATTTTCAAATAGCATACACAACTCAATCTTAGGAGGGTCTGATTCCGGGTTATAAGACGCATACATGGAGTTCTGTCTTCTATGTTTCACAACTCCATCTCCTGAGTCATGATCAGATAGTAAGCTGGATGGATCATCGGAATCATATTCAATGCTAGTATGATCTGAATCAGTGCCACTATACTGCTGTCTTTGCTTTTGAACAGTTTTTTTCTTGTAAGTGTCTTCATCGTCCCCTTCTTCTTCATTATCAGATTCTTCACCACCTAGCACACTGTCTTCAGCATCCATACCATCTTCTCTGTCATTCTCTTCCCTCTCAGTTTGTGGCTCTTCACCAACTAGTTCAGGTAATGAGGCAATCTCGACTAACTCAACTTCATCTAACCCGTGCTCAACAAATATCTCACATTTTCCATAACAAGTAGCCATATCAATTAAGTTCAAGGTGGATTCATCATTGAAAAGCTGGTGTAGATTTTGCATAGAGTCCTCAATTTTCTTAAAATAAATCCCGTGGATATTCCCATAGCTCCCAGATTTCAGAAACTTCAACAGATGTGGGTATGAAATTAAATCTGGATCAATTGAAATAGTATCTACTGCACCACCCTTGTACACATAGTCAGGGTTGTAAAAGAAATCACCACCATGATGAATTACAAGTTCGACTTTGTCAAACATCCTGTTCATCAATGAAATTGTTATTTTTTGTTGGCAGTGCAATGTATTGTTGTAAAGTGTAAAACGTAGAAACCAAAAACACCTTTTACAAAACATTTGTTACTGAGCAAGATTAATCGTTGTAGGAGTCGTACGAGCTGACTAACCTTTAAGAGGAAGAAGACAACACCGTGCGTATGAGCGTAGGGCCGTTGAGCATGTGCGGTCTTCACTTTTGTATTCTGCTAAGCTTCCTTCTGTTAAGCTTCCTTCTCCAGTACGATTGGAAACCCTAGGGTTAAAAAATAGTTAATATATATATGTGTGTCCAAGTAATCAAAGCTTACATGGATAATAATAATAGCCACGTCGGATTCCAGGTAATCACATAAGGAACAAGCAGGTCATTAAACGGGTAAAGTTACGATTTGCTCATTTTTTTACGGTTCAAGGGTTTAATTGGGTGATGTTTGTGTTCATAGGCTTAATTGACATTTTCTTTGGAGTAGGGGGGCCTATTTGACACTTTTCCCAAAACAAAAATCAATGCGTAGGTTTTAGTCAATTGGGTAAACCATAGTCACATAGTTCGTTGAACACTACGGTACGGGAACGAGGAATGGGAACATGGTTCGTTAGGTCTACCATATATGATTCAAAGGGGGTAGGTTTATTTCGGTATGCATTTGGTATGCTGTACCTTTTGTTCACTACGGTACCTTATGTTTTGGTATTATGATAAAACACAATTATAGTTTCATACAATTACATAAAAATAGATTTCATTACACGATTTCATAGCATTAAACAAAATAATAAACAATAATATTATACTACGTAGAAACTTTGGACTGTTTTCAAAAAAAGAAACTTTGGACTCAACTGAAATCACAGAAACATTAATTACTCCGTAAAAGTTTAAAACAGGAAAAGGAATTGTCACTCGGTCACTCTATTATATAGGCGACCTTGGGAAGAGTAGGTGGCCTAGGAATACAAAGAGTTTGGTACCCTGTTGATGACCTCTAGCAGGAAACGAAGAGGATCGTTCGAGTCTTTGGAAACGTTTGAAATCAAACGTTTGAGGGTCTTCAAATCTGCATGCGGAAAGAAAATGATGATTGTTGATAGCGTTTGCAAATGGGCTGGAGAGGGGTTGCGAATGAAATCTAAAGCGACTGGGAACAACTTGGAAAACGTATTTGCCGGCAATTCCTGTAGCATTTGGAACACTTTCGTACCGCGATTGGGTACAGATCATTTGGAACGCAGATCGCGGGGTCTTCAGCGATTTATGTAACTATGGGGTAAACCAATTATATTGAAGTACTACTATTTGTTGAGTGACAAAATGTTACTTACTTAAACATAACAGAACAACATAGTAACAAACAATACAGATTAAGTAAAAGACGCAATATACATCTATAACATATTTTTCTAGATTACAATCCACATTTTCAATTGACTCAAGTGACTGTAAATATCTAAATTTTGAATGTGACAATTTATCTTTCAAAGAGAGAATCAATGAAAATAAGCATGAATCGTGGATAAACATGACGAACTAGAACATACGTTATTTTATACTAGTATATGAGTAGAACTTGCTGATCCGGAAAAAGTAGTGATATCTAATTCTAACTTCTCAGACCGTTTTATGATGTTCTTGAAGAAGAGAGTGGTACAAAGTTTGACTATGTTACTTAGTTTTTTAACATATTTTCTCCATCTCTTATAATTTTGACAATTTTCTTTTTTAGACGATGAATCGTTTGACACTTTCTCTTTTAAACGATCAAGTTGTAGTTCTTGTTAACTTTATCTACTTTGCACAAATCTCAATCACATAAGTTTTATTTTTTATTCTACGTGTGAGTCAATTTTGACAAAATTATAAGAGAAAATGAAACATTATGTCCCTAATAAGTCAATGGGCCCTGGGCACATACATGTTGCCCATGTCCTCGGACCGGCTCTAAGTACGCCGTTATAACGAGTCATCAACCTAGATGAAGGGTTGAACTATTTCTTAACGATGTTACTACCTCCGCCCCTAGATAAAAAGGAGTGATGCGATTATTAAAAAAAGTGAAATTATGTGATTGCTATTAAATTGATAAAATATGAATAAAGTAATGAGAATTGCAACCACTCAAATATTTTTTTTATCGGCAAAACGACTTTCATTAAAATAGAGCAAACATGCAAGACAATATCTAGACAGTTATTACAGATCCGATCGCAAGCCCTAGGAATAGACTTAGAGTATGTTTGGCACAACTAGCTGAAAAGATACTTTTGTGAGCTTTTTAGTAACTGTCAGCTTTTAGTGACTGAAAAGATCTTAAAAAGAAAAGGTGATAGCTGTTTGGTAAAAAACCGACTGTTTGATTTAGTTCGGTTTGGTATACAAGCTATTAGGACTAATTAATACTAAAAGTCACGAGCTTTTCTCAGATGCTACACCCGGTAGCATCTCAAAAAAGATCTTTTAATTTTTGAAAAGCTCTTAAAAAATGTCATGCCAAACATACAACTAGAGTCTTTTAAGGTTTTTTAAAGAAAAGAGAAGCTAGAAGACAGAGGCTTTTGTGTGCCAAACATGGCCTTAGAGTCCGCCACCCATACAAAGCAACCTAACTCGCTAGACACAAAACGGGCAAGAATAAGCCTAAAACCATAAAAAATGAAGCACTGCCTATCAAATGTTCATCAAAAATCAAAATACTCCAACTATACATACGCGAACTGAAATAAAAACAAGTACTACTAAAGGAAAAATAATGCGAAAATAGAAACTTTCCCCAAATTGCTTCGTCCGGAGGTGGTTTCGAAGGCGGACGAGCTGCTATAGTATGGGAGAAGAGAATTTCGAGTCCTGAAAAATTCGTCTGAAACCACATCCTTCTTGCGCTCGCCAATTTGCTTCTTGAGGTTTATCATTGAAATCCATGTCCGAGGTGCAGAAGAGATCTCTATCATGCTGCCTGTGTAACTAATTGCCTGTAAAATTCCTGAATCAGCCCATCCAAGAAAGGATTCCAGACCGGTACGAATCACTGGTGCAAATAAGAGCCTTCCTTGGATCCAACCGTTCGAGAATACCCTGGATCAAACCGTCCAAGAAGGATTTCCAATCGACCGCCGATAAGAGGATATTGCAGCTGATAAGAGGCGCAACCCAAAACACGCCGAACACCGCTGATTAAATCGACCGCCAGAAAAACAAACCCTAGCCGCCGCATACTGAGGTCGTGCGCGGGGAGAAGAGCTCAAGAGCTTTTTACCACTCTTTTTTTTATTGAAGGTGGCTTAATTCATAGAAATAGCATTCAGCAAGGGTACACGATAATAAAAGAACCACATGTAACCATCCGTCCGTGGCCGAGACAGAGAGTTAACCACCTATAAAAAAGCAGTATAACTCGCTAGACCGAGATTGGGCAACTTAAAGCCAATGACGGTTACCGTAGATCTTTCAAACCCCAAACCTAATGCAAGAGTCTTATATAGCAAATAAAAATAAAAACAAAACATAATGAGATATCCGAAAAAAATGCAAACAAAACAAAAAATAAAAATAACACCGTCTCTGGTCTGCAGCATCAACACCAACAGATAAATTCTCGTCGGGTCTAAGGAAATTGACCCGCCTCCTCCCCATTTTTTGGCCCATCGAGAGTCATTCCTTCACCCGCTGTATCTCCGTTGTCCTGAGTATCCCAGATCCTTCTTCTTTTTGTATCTCTAGGGGCTTCCTCCTTTTTCTTTGTCTCGAGTTGCTGTGGTGTACTGGTCTTTGATTCAGCCGAAACCTCTCCCCCGAGATCAGCCTTCCGCTGATATCCATATCCCCCTGAGTTGGACGCCTCATTAGATAGCCATTTGTTGGTTCCTGCTGGGCTTGTCTTCACCCTTCCACCTGCTCTGAGATCTACCCCAAAGGATTTCTCGGCAACAAAGCCCTCTTCATACTTCAATGGGTAAAATTTATCCGAATGTCTAATTATACCACACAAAAAACAAAAGCCGGGTAGCTTTTAATATTTAAAATCCACCCAATGTTTAATCCCATCTTTTGTCAAGGTAGTGCCCTTATTCAAAGGCCTACGAATATCCAAGCACACTCTTATACGCAGATAAGAACTCTGTCTACCATCAAATTGGCTCATCTCAAATTTAATAAACGAGCCTAAAAATTACCAATTTTTCTGGCAGATCCCAAATTCCTAAACTTAATAGGGGCATTGTGATTTGTGAACCTGTACCCAAAAACTAGCCTCAAACAAATTCATAGACTCAGGAATGCCATCAGGCTGAACAACTTTCATCAGAATTAAGTCACGCTGAAAGAGCCAAGGGACATCCTCAATCACACGATTCATATCCAAAACATGATTAAAATTTAGCAGGTACCTTTTTTCTCAGCTCCAATTTCCGTAATTGTCATACCTTTCCCTGGACGCCATCAGTTCTTGAAACCCTGACAACTTGATTTTCCGTTCGGTGACTACGACTGCCACCACCGGGAAGGTTTGCTCTTCTGTCACCGCTTCTCCTTCCTCTTCTGTCTCCTGATCACAGTTAAGTTCGTTCTGTTGATCTTCAATTGCCATCCTTTTATACGAATTGACAATATCTTCCATCCAAACAGCTTCTCGGTCGAAGACACTTCGCTGAAACCTCCCACCCGAAGGCAAGCCTGCTTCGCCTTCTTCGATGGCCGCACACGACGCCCTCTTCTCCCTGTCAAAAAGCGATCTTCGTGAAGGCGAAATCGGAAAACGAACCTAGCGGCCAAGCCCTAGGAGATATCGAAGGTTTAGAGAGAGACTCTCAGCTCCGTAAGGAATTGTTTTAAGATATACTTGATAATTATCTCTTACTTCTTACCACTCAAATATTATTAAGTATGATATGTTACAAATTTAGTAGAACATACAGAAATTGTGGGACAAAGGTAGAAAGACGAAGATAATATTATTTTTTGAGCATTTAGAGTTTTCATTTATATTTTCAAGTGGATTTTGAGTTTTGAACAGCTGATTATTCTCAGGCTTCGGATGAATTAAATGGTTATATTAAATTATTAAAGCATTAAATTATTAACTTTTAAGTCATCTAATTATTATTTTTAATTGGCTAAAGGGTCAAATAGGTACATGAACTAACTTAAAGTGTTCAATTAGTCCCTAATATAAGATGTTTTGCCCAGTCGTCGCCAATTGGGGCGGTTCCCAATTGAATTTTTTGATGAAATTTTTTGAGCATCTTCTTCATTAAGTCTAGTTTACCCATATCAAATTTCAGCTAAAAATTAAATCGGGAAGGCAGTCAATTGATTTTCTGAAATGTACTGCGCTGTTTAACTGCGCAGTTATCTTCAAAAAATCATTTGATTGCCTTCCCGGTTGAATTTTTAGCTGAAATTTGGTATGGGTAAACTAGACTTAATGAAGAAGATGCTCAAAACATTTCATCAAAAAATTCTATCGGGAACCGCCTCAATTGGCGACGGTCGGGCAGAACCTCCAATATAAGGGGCTAATTGAACACTTTAAGTTAGTTCATGTACCTCCATAAAGGGTTAACCCTTTATCCTTTTTAATTAAAGTCCACTCTAGCTTTTGACCAAAGAAGAATATATACTGCGGGTAAAAAAATTATCGGAAGAAAGGAGTCAAAGGACTGTACAAGGATGTCAATGTTTTTGAAGCCGTTACCACTTACCAGACGGCTCCTTCAATAAAAAAACGTGGATTGAGCCGACGAGTCGTAATCACCTGCATGCATGGCTGCACTCCACGCGTCGGTCGCTGTACCGGAATCCAAAACCACATCACAACTTCTCCTCCCTATAATTCACTTTCGATTCCGCCGTATAACGCAGATCCCCTTCCCAGCTCTGTCAAAGCAGTCCCAATCACATTCAGTTAGTCCACGGCTGAGCTAGCGGCGTTTCGCACCTTGGTCTCATACTCTCCCGGCGATGATTCAGGTTTTCCTCTCTCTCTCCATTTCTTCTTATTCAAATTCACTCGCTAAACGACTCGGAAATGAACTTTTTACCTACAACATGAGAATGGTACCGTGCAGATTGAATTGCACCAGCCCTGAGGTGAAATTGAAATGCTAACTTTGAAACAAAAATAGAAGCCCAGGCACATACTTTTGAGAGGGAGGAATCAATCCTAGAATTAAAACAAAAGAATAGAAATTTCAATTGCCATTGTGAAATGATGTGGTATGATTGGCTAAGATCTGTATATTGCCGTCAACATTAATGAGAGAATCTTTAGAAAGCGTATATGATATAAATTGGGAGAAACTACAGATTGGGCAATAACTTATTCTGAATTCGTGCTCTTAAACTCAATTTATGATTTTAGTTGGGCTGATTTCAGTCGATCAAACCAGACTTAAACTTGCCATATTTTGGATAACCACTATAGCTCAAAATTAGTTGAAATTTGATACATCCAGACAACTAATTGGAGTAGTTGACATGCATCCTTGTTTGGAACGTTACTATAGATATTGCTATCCCTCTTTGTAAGATTGCAAATACTTGTAGTTTAATAAATAACATGAGTGGCGACCTAAATTTCATGTTTCTGTGTGTCTCAGTCTTTAGATCAAGACTGTATTTGGTGAAACTATTGTGAACTTAGATAAACTGCTTGAAGGAAACAGTTGCCAAATTATTGAATTGTGAAGCACTAATGGCCTAATGGATTTTATTTTTCAGGTTTAGTTCAATAAGCTAAATACTGGACCAATCTAGTTCAGATGCCAGACCCTGAGTTTCATTCCAACTACAAAGATGATGTTTGAAATGTCAATTGATGGCAATTATCACAAATTCCCTACTTCATTCACTTCAGGAGATACTGACTACTTGGGAGACCCAGCTAGTTTTTTCGCATGAAGTATGTATTTCCATGAGACAGACAAGGACATAATTTTCTTTCCCGCTTTAATATCAAGTGGGTGGGTATGTATGCTATCGGTCCAGCAAAGTGATAATTTTAGTGTAGTTGTGCAGAAAGGGAAGAATGAAACCATTTATCCCAAGTAATGCTGACTCTTCTTGCAGACATAGGAGAATCTGTAAGCCTAATCGCAGGTATATTGACGAGTCATCAGATCTTAATTCAACAATTGTCAAAAGAAGGAAAGATACTTCTACTTCTGTCTCAAGGAATAAGTGTCAAAGTGTCAAATATAATAAGAAACCAAATCCAGAATCTGTAGAAATAAAGTCTATTCCAAGGGATACTTTTGATGCTATACAAGTACCCTTTGGTCCACTTGTACCCGAAGAATGTGATAAGAAGATTGATTCTGATGTGGAAATGAGGTTAACAGAGGTTTCTTGTCTTGGCCGCTATGAGCATGAAGGGAAGTATGCATCTGATGTGATGAAAGTGAAGTCAACAGAGATTTCTTGTCTTGACCTCAATGAGCAGCATTATAGGGACTATGCATCCAAGCAAGTAAAATTGAAACGCTTATCATCTATTGACACTGATCTGTGTTCTAAGAAGCATTCAACGGATGTAAAGAGGGCAAAGATGAACTATTTATCATCTTTTGGCTCTGGATTGTGTGATAAGAAACATGCATCCCATGTGAAGTTGGTAAAGCTAGACAACATCTCTTTTAAATCCCAAGAATGTTTTAAGAGGCATTCACCCAATGTGAATAAGGTATTATTAGACACAAATTTCTTCTTGGTTTCTTCTGTAAGTTCACTGTTTTTAGAAGTTGTCTATTATTTGTTTCATGTCTTCAGTGGTTTGCATATTTAGTTACAGTACCGAGTATGTAAGCCTCAAGAGAGTGATCCAATTTTAAAAATAAGACTTGAAGCAAAAATGTATTTTGCTGAAGTCTATTTGGAAATTATTATGTTAATGAGTGGTCCTAATGGTGACTTTGCTTTACAACTTCATTAATTTCATATCTTTATGAAGATAAATCATGTGTAAAACCTCATTTGAAATGGGGTCATGTATGAATAATAAATTATAAACGTGACATGAAATTCCTCTATTTTCTAGGTGCTGAATCTTCATGAGGATACACCAATGGTTTCAACAAAATATGATGGTGTAATGACAGTGATATCTGATGGGGATAATGCTCGGAGGAAGCACCACAGGCTTTGGACGACGTCAGAAGTCAGAAAGTTAGTTGAAGGTGTCTCACAGTGTGGAGTTGGAAAATGGAGTCAAATAAAGAGGCTCTACTTCTCGTCGTCCGACTATAGGACACCCGTAGATCTCAAGGTCAGCATCCCTTTATTAAGTGTAGTATAATAGTACTCCCTCTATTCCTGTTTTCTGTCTAAGTTGACCAAATCACATGGTCCAAGAAAATGTATTGGAGATAAAATGTTCAAACCATTTAATACTTTTACTAGAGCACCCTAATTATAAGATGCCCTCCACTTTATGTTCTTTTTGGGAAAAATATAAGTTGAATAGTAAAAGTAGAAGAAGGTTAAATAGGGAAACAAATTTAGGGTCTGTTTGCAACAGCTTCTGTTTTGAAAAAAGTGCTTTTTTTTTAAATAAAATGGGGAGAAGTGATTAAATAAAAGTTGATAGTGTTTGAGAAAAAAGTAATTTTGAAAAGTAAAAGTTGGTAGTGTTTGATAAAATAAGTGCTTTTTGTGTAATAGAAAAAGTAAAAGCACTTTTGACACGAAAGCCGAGAAAAATAAAAGTTGTAGTGTTTGGTAAAAGTAGTGCTTTTTTAAAGCCAAAAGCCGAGAAGTGTTTTTTTTAAGCGTTTGCAAACCAACCCTTAATGTGCCTAGATTTGATAAATGTGCAGATATAAAGGAAGTAAGGAACAAAATGATTTCGTCAAACTGGACGTATAAATAGGAAAAATGTACCCCCAATATCCATCTTTCTAATCCATTCAACTTTATCCATACTATATCAATCAAATAATTCCATTTTTCTTAAGCGCACCAGTATCTCATTTCCCAATCTTAGTGGGACGGATGTAGCATTCAATTTGGGATGGAGGAACTGGGATGTTCTAAAGAGCTGAAACGTAACCGTGTCTTTATCTGCTTGCTTTTTCTCCCAATTTTAAAAGTTCGTTTCAGTTCAAATGATGATGGTGTTCTCCTAACACTCTTAATAGGACAAGTGGAGGAATCTTTTGAAAGCAAGCCATCTTCAGGATCAGAGCAAGAAAGGGGTCAGTTATTTATAATTTTTCACCTTTGTATTGCGATTTCTTTGTTGTTTGTAATATATGCTTCTCAGTTTTCAATACATTCAATTTTTCTGGTTAACATTGAGCCCGATATACATTTTAAAGGCATATAATATTTGCGGTACCTAGTTGCCTATAGATTATGAATTTGTGATACCTATTGGGAGATAATTCACATTTTAATGGCATGCATTCCTTCTGATGATATAATTTTAATTTTTTTCTCAGTAAAACTTGAAGTCTAGTTTTTCTCTTGTTTTTAAGTCCTAGTCTGCCTACAATCCTATACGTGAAGGCTATCATTTAAAGCTCTAAACTCCTGTTTCCTTGTTTCTGACTATGATTTCTCCTTTAAAACTTAATTGATTTTCTTCTTCTTATAGCAACGCTTGCTTGAGACTGTTTCACGGAGCTTGCTCTCGTGAAGGCTATCATTTAAAGCTCTAAACTAAGTAATACGTTTGGCAATTTTAGGCTTAAAACTACTCGCTCTGTTCTGTTATTATCTTCTCATCCTGACTTGGCACAACTATTTAGAAAGATTTGTGGTGAGAAGAAACAAATAACACAAAATCCTTTCCTAAAAAGCATGAGGAGATAATTTAAAGACACTAGTAGAAAAAGGATAGAATGACGATTAAAACGGGAGATGTTTTTTCAAAATGATGTATCTTCTATATAATTTGAAGTGACAACTGACAAGCTCATGCATGGAGTCCTTGACTTCATGAGACAGTCACGCAAGTTTATGTGTTCCCTTCCAAGGAGTTTTTTTGTGTGGTGATACTCATAACAATTCTGAAACTATGAGGCCGTTTGGTAACCTCATTTTTCGGCTTATCAGGCTTATCAGCCAGCTTTTTCACCAAACACGTAATTTTTACTTTCGCGCGCTGAGTTGTGTAATAAGCAGAAAAAGTAAGGTTGGAGTTACTTTTCTGGCCGTATTGGCTGAAGTTACTGTAGATGACCATTTTAGCTATTTTTACATATAATTTTTTCTTTACTTTATTAATAAAATATATTTTAAAAATAATTTTTACTTAAATCAGCAGAAACAGGCAAAGCAGCCACTTCAGCCAGAACTTCATAAATTTCAGCAGAATCAGCCAAAACAGCCGATTTTTGTGCTACCAAACGGGCTCTATTTGTGTTCCTTTTAGTTTTTTTTGTGTCTGGTGATATTGAGTGGAACTATTATTATGATTAAACGCAGGACAAGGGAAAACATAGCTTTTCTTGGCGCCCCTTACCAAAGTCCATCCTGAACCGAGTTGAAGAACTGGCAGACATTTATCCATATCCAAGAAACTGGAAATCCAAGTCTCAAGAATGTGCGTCTATGTATAAATCCTCTTCTCACATTCTTTCAAACAAATCTATCTGAGCAACATTTCGGTGACAACTGAAGGATGCACATAAAAATTGGTAGTTGACTTCAAGGATGATTTTATATTGGCTGGGTCACCCTCTCTTAATCCTACAGTTTTCACAAACTGAAACAGCCTTTTGCCATTGTGAATAGTGCAATAGGTATTCTGCTCTTTCCAAATGTTGGTCTTTGGCACCTGAACCTTTACTCTGTACATATTATGATTATTCATGCTTGCTCAACTCTGTCTATTCAACTTGCTATGGGTTACTACAAGAAGAAGAAAATCAATTAAGTTTTAAAAGGGAAATCATAGTCAGAAACAAGGAATCATGGATAATAGAATGCTCATATGGGATTGTAGGCATAGTCCAAGCAGAGTAGGATTTTCAAAACAAGAGAAAAACTAGACTTCAAGTTTTACTGGAAAAAAAGAAGATTATATCATCAGAAGAAATGCATGCCATCAAAATGTGAATTATGTCTCCCAATAGCTATCATAATCTATAGGCAACTAGGTACCACAAATATCATATGCCTTTAAGATGTATACAGGGCTCAATTTTAACTAGTAAACTTGAATGTAATGAAAATTGAGAAGCATATACGTAGTCTTACAAAACCAAAGAAACCACAATACAAAAGCAGGCAAGGAGGTGCTTTTTAATGCTTCATGGTATTTCCATAAATATATGAATTAATCCAAAAGTACCCTTAGTTCCCACAGTGCATTGTACGAGACCCTCCCTGATCACCCCACAAGCTTGTTCTAAGGATGGAAACAATTGGCGCAAGCGATGTGCTACCCTACCACCACTCTACTTTGTCACCGATATTAAGCAGAAATGTCATGAGGAGTAGTGAAACAATTCTTACAATTAAGCTTGCTCTATTGCTATTGACCATAGCACATTCAGTACAATTTGCCTAATTCTTCAATACAGAATTAAATACTCTTCCCAAGGGTACTGCTTCATCTTGGAAAAGGAGTAGTAGATATGCCAGTCCTTAGAAATTTATCGTAGATATGCCAGATTGCCAATTAGAAATTTAGAAGAAAGAACTGCCATAAAAGGATGGAGAATGAAATTTTAGATATTTGAAAGAATATCAATCCAAATTGGAATTCATTTCCCTTTGGATCCGTAGGTCAATCATAACTAACATATAAATTCAATCTGATTCTCAATGTTTCCTTCATTTTATCTCCGTCTGTAGCATCTTTTTGTTGGCAATTGGTGGAACATTTTTTGTACTGGCATGGGTGTCTAATTTATTACATGATATTTTTGTAATTTAATCAAGTATTATATTAAAAATCACTTTTTTTAAATGATTAAAATAAATCACTTTTTAAAAGTAGAGACAAATGCAGACAATGTTCTAATATGATCAAATTTTCTCGAGGGAGGCCGGTCGTCTATTCTCCGCTACTTAAATCTTCTCTCTTCTAATATGATCAAATTTTCTCGAGGGAGACCGGTCGTCTATTCTCCGCTACTTAAATCTTCTCTCTGCCTATAAATAATTAAGAATCTACTTGAACTGTGTCAAAATAAAACTGAAGATAGCAATTGAATGAATATTAGTGCATCTTCAATGAGATGTCTAGTACTCACACATTCTTATGTGGATCCCATTCTTTTCTATAATTAGTTAATAAAATACACTTTGCATATTTTTTACACTTTGCATCCGTGCACCGTCAATAAAATACACTTTGCATATTTTTTACATATGAATTTAGTAAAATATTAATTAAATTATTATAAGTAATGTTTTACTTTTAATTTTTTTCCCTGAATATTTATGAAATAATAAATACACATTTTGATGTAAAAATAAATAATTTTCATATTTTTTTTTAATATTTTTCAGTTAAAAAAATGAATTTTTTTAAGTGAAGTTTGATTATAGAATATTCAATTATTTCTGAAGGTTTCATGAATTAAGAATTCTTGTTTCATTTTTTTAGCTCAATAAACTGTAACAGTTAAAATTTCAAAATAGAATCATTTTATATATCACATATGGATGTCATATGAAAGATGATAAAAATTTATGAATTTTGATATATTTTTTGAAAAAAATTAAATGACAAATAAAAAAGTTATACTCCCTCCGTATCACATATATCTTCCCACTTCCAAAGTGGGTGAGATTAAGAATAGTGAAAGGGGATATAAATTATTGAGGGTATGATGGGAAGATAGTGAAATAATTTGATGGAATGAAGGATAAATCCAAAAAAAGTATGTGTAATAGTACATTATTTTTTAAATTATTGAGGGTATGATGAGAAGATTTAGAAATGAGAAGATATAAATATTACGTCCAAAAAAGGAAGGTGAGAAGATATAAATGTTACGGATGGAGTATAAGTTTAAAAAAATTGGGATATAATGATGCAAGGGTGACGCCAGCATGACATCATCCTCACCAAAAGAAAACATGTGGCCGTGCCTTACTTTTCCTTTTTTCTTTATTTTTTCTTTTTCCACTCCTCTAAACTCACCCTCTATATTTAACACCTTTCATCCCCTTTCCCACTTTTAATACCCCATATAAACCACCACTACACACAATTAGGAGTCCAAAAGTTCAACATTTAATATTTTGGACTCCTAATACCTCACCACTACAAATGGTCTGAAAAACATCCATTCAATTTATTCTAAGAAGTGCACGTGCAGGAAAGTTGGAAATTGCACGGATGGAGTTATTTATTAATCATCTAAACGAAATGAAATAATTGCCATGAAACCCACGATGCCTCATTTAATGCTATTAACCAATGATGAAAAAGAATGGGGAGGAGCTGCAAGAGGCTGGGCTCTATAATCCATTAATGTCATATGGTACAGTGTCTCCATTCTATATGTTTCCTCTCCTCTGCCATTTCATGGGCCATTCTTCATGTGCTCTATGTGTACTATTGTATCTATTAAAAAGAAAGAAAGAAAAATACAATTATACCGGGTGTGCATTATACCGGGTGTGCATTCGAGTATGCGCTTGTATCTACATTTTAAAAAGAAAAACTCATCAAATAAGTCCAATCAACTTTTAGGTGTCTTTGGGAGTTGAATTTTGGAGGGGAAAAAAGATTGATGTAATGTTTGGAAGTTTATAAAATTGAAGGAGTGGTTTTGGAGGGCTTCCGTGACGTCTAAAACCTTCCAAATGCTCAATTTTTGAGTTTTCTCAATTTAAAGGTTTTGAAACATAATTAACGAAATGATAATTTAAGCTCTAATTAAAAATAAATATCAGTTCAATTATTTAAATTCATCAATCATCATATCTCAAAGTGATTTAAATTATAATTCATTCAAAAACTCTCTTCTTCCAAATTCATTACTCCCAAATACAAATAAGAGCTTTCTTTCCCTTGCAACAAAATATCTCCAATGCCTTCCCCTCCCCTTCCCTCCAAACTCTCAAACATACCCTTAATAAAAAGTCAATTGAATTCATGTATTCTTTACTTTTATTGGATCAACGACGGACACTGCAGACATTGTGGCTATGGAAGTTGGGATGGCGGAGGCGGTGGATATGGAGGTGGGAGCGGTGGACATGGAGGTGGTGATGGAGGCCATAAAAGGGAAGAGCATAGCAGCTGGCTCTCGTGCAGAGAAAGAAGAAAGAAAGAGAAAAATGAAAGAGAAAGAAGGAAAGAGAAAAGGAAAAACGGAAAGAAAAGCAAAATGAAAGAAAATAGAAACCAGAAAAAAGTCAACTTGATATACGTGAACCTATTTGACAATTTATCCTATAAAATAAATATGTTTTCATAGATAATTAGAGTCATTTCTGCTTAATGGACTTATTTTTATCAATTTTTTTTGGATAACCTGTAAGTATATTAAAGGATGACTTATTTTTATCAATTCATACATTTGATTTCGCACGCTGAATTATGTAATAATTAAAATAATTAAGACTACATAATGTATGGATTTGATAAAAATAAGTCTACATTAAGTCTACAATAATTAAGACTACATTTGGAAAATCTATACATTTCGAGTCATACAATATTATTTCACATTCATAGTCTTAAGCCTATACGCACGCCGATCCCTAGCAGAATCAAGCTATGATAAGCTTTTTGCAAACCCTACAGAGTATCAGAGTATGATAGTTGTTTTACAATATTTGACAATGACTAGACCTGATATTACACATTATGTTCACCTAGTTTCCCATTTCACACATGCTCCTGGCACGTACTACACATATTTTGGTTGTGAAGCAAATTTTCGAATATCTTTATGGATCCTTGGCGCATGACTTGCTACTTTAGCTATCTCCTTCATCTCATGCTATTTTGATATATTAAGATGTTGATTGGGCAAGGTTTGTTGGGTGTGTTTCGGAAAATAAAGAAAATTAATTAAAATAAATTAATTAAAATAAAATGACTAGAGAAAAACAAGAAAGGAGATGAAGCAGAATTAGTCAAAGCTCGTGCTACGCACGATGTCCTTAAAACGTATTTGTTGTCTCCCATGGTGCTAGGAGCGTTGCAACAATCGTTTCCCAGGATACGATGACTACGAACTAGTGTTTGAGCACTCAAACCCAAGTTCCAGCGAACGAGAACAAAGATTGAACACAGAGGATTTTGCAGAATGCTAGCAGTGTGTTTTTAGAGGTGCATAAAGTGCTTGGAGTGTATGAATTCGTATAAGAACGTGTGTTGTTGCAAACCACCTGCCAGCCATTATATAGGAGGATTTGTTGTGTGAAAATAGTGAATTAATGGACCTGAACGTTGGACATCAATGACCAGTCCGTTGGACATTGAATCGTCCATGAACTGTCCATTTAACGCTGCATTAAAAGATATAAACGTTGGGCATTTATTGTTGTAACGGTTCAGAAGTGCCACCAGAACTCTACGAGGTGTTCTGGTCGAAGCCAGCAGAATACCTATGCGAGGTATTCTGATCGAGGCCATCAGAGACCGACGTGTTCTGGTGGAAGCCATTAGAGATCGAGGCGTTCTGGTGCCACCAGAGAACGAGGTCTTCTGCCG